GAAACAATTCTTTACCTATTTATTTCTTTAAAACTAAAATATATATAAAAAAAATTAAATCAAATAAAAATTAATTAGGGTGGATTCAGACACCAGTACAGTGATGGCACGATTGTCATCACTGATCTTGGAAATGCTATCTGATCCAAAAGGAAGCATTGACCAAGGATAATTCTATTCTATTCTATTCTATTCTATTCTATTCTATTCTATTCCATTCCTTTCCACTCCACTCCACTCCACTCCATTCTATTCTATTCTATTCTATTCTATTCTATTCTATTCTATTCTATTCTATTCTATTCCTTTCCACTCCATTCCATTCTATTCTATTCTATTCTATTCTATTCTATTCCTATTCTATTCCATTCCATTCCATTCCATTCTATTCTATTCCATTCCATTCCATTCTATTCTATTCTACTCAATTCTATTCTATTCTATTCCTTTCCACTCCATTCCACTCCATTCCATTCCATTCTATTCTATTCTATTCTATTCTATTCTATTCTATTCTATTCTATTCTATTCTACAATCTATTCTATAATCCATTCTATTCTATTCTATTCTATTCTATTCTATTCTATTCTATTCTTTGCATTCCTAGCGTCTGCATCTTCTTTCTGAAGTCCTCATTGTGGAAGACGTTTCACATTTTTCCTCAGGCATTATGCGACAAAGGCAGGGGTAACCCCCATTTTTCCTGCCTTTTTTTTTTTTTTAAAGCTCAGAGACTTCGTCTTCAGATAAGTGTCCCTCTTTCCTGGCTGATCGAGAGGGGTTTTCCTCTTTTCCTAACTCCCCTTTCTCTCTCTCTCTCTCTCTCTCCTTGAAAGAAATCGCCAGGAGACTGCAGCAACTTCGACAAGGAATTCCTCAACGAAAAGCCCCGGCTCTCCGTCGGAGACCGGACCCTTGTCAACAGCATGGACCAAAACATGTTTAGGACTTTTTCGTTTACCAACCCCATCATGGAGAAATTGCTGTCCTGAAGAACGGCCTACGAAAGATGCATCCTGAAGCACCTGTCAAAGACAAGCCAGCAAGGGGGGACGTGACTTCCCACGCTGGCTTGCACCTCTGTCTACATATTAGCTTCCCTGAACAAGCAAGTTTTGAGAGGGCAAAAAAATTGTGAGATCCTTACACGCCGTGTCTTCTTGATCACTGAGCAACCAGGAGGGCGGAAGGATCTGCTTTCAGAGGAAGACTTGAAGGGACTCCCAAGCCTGGAATTTATAACTGCACAAACCTTTTTCAAGACAACAACTGTGAAGGTTTTTGACATGCTTGCATCCTATATCCTTCTCGGTTATAGTGTGTTTCTGGTCCCATAATTTCAAGATCAAGCACTGGGGAAGCCTTTGGCTAACTTTTCTCCAGGAGTTTGCAAAGCAAGCACGCTACAGATGGTCCTTGACTTACAACAATTTGTTCAGTGACCGTTCGAAGTTACCACGGCAATGAAAAAAAAATGACCAGTTTTCACACAACTATTGCAGCATCCCCACGATCAAAATTTGGGTGCTTGGCAGCCGGCATCGATTTATGACCGTTGCGGTCTCCCAAGAGTCACGCGATCATCTTTTGCAATGTCAACGGGGAATTCAGATTAACTTAACGACCGTGTTACTAATTCAATTTACTAATTTAAGGACTGGAAGGATTCACTTAACAACTCTGGCAAGAAAAGGTCACAAAATGGGATAAAACTCACTTGACAGCTCTGTAAAGCACAATTGTGGTTATAAGTCGAGAACTGTCTACAGTCTGTTTTCTTCTGCTGCATGAGAAGATTCAGAATTTCAACATTTGTGAAATACGGTCCTACAGCAGAAACTCAATAGTGTGTAGGTCAGGGGTAAGCAACCTTGGCCCTTTTATGACTCGTGGACTTCAACTCCCAGAATTCCTGAGCCAGACATGCTGAGGGGAAAGGGAGAGGTTTCCAAGCTGAGCCATGCTGGCTGAGGAATTCTGGGAGTTGAAGTCCACGAGTTATGAGGGGGCCATATTTCCCTCATGCTGGCTCAGGAATTCTGGGAGTTGAAGTGCACGAGTCATAAAAGAGCCAAGGTTGCCTACCCCTGGTATAGGTAGCCCTCGACTTACAACAGTTCCTTTAGTGACCGTACAAAGTTACGTCACTGAAAAAGTGACTTATGACTGTTTTTCACACTTAGGACCGTTGCAGCATCCCCCGTGGGTCAGGTGATCAAAATTCAGATCCTTGGCAAAACTGACTCATACTTAAGACGGTTGCCGGGTCCCGGGGGGGGCTCATGCGATCCCCTTTTGCGACCTTCTGACAAGCAAAGTCAACAGGGGAGTTCACTTAACAACTCATGTTACTAACTAAGCAACTGCAATCATTCACTTAACAAATGTAGCAACAAGAAAGGTCGTAAAATGGGACAAAATTCACTTTACAGCTGCCTCGCTTAGCAACAGAAATTTGGGGCTCAGTTGTGGTCGTAAGCCGAGGACTACCTGAAAACGTCTGGTGGCCAACATTTCATATTTTATTTTATTAAAATCCAATGACTATTTTTTTCTAGACTCGACGCACAGTTAAAACGCCGTCATTATTGGAGCCGTGGTGGCGCAGTGGTTAGAACGCCGTATTGCAGTCTGACTCTGCCCACTGTCAGCAGTTCAATCCTGACAGGACTCGAGGTTGACTCAGCCTTCCATCCTTCTGAGGTTGGTAAAATGAGGATCTAGATTGTTGGGGGGCAATAAACTGACTCTGTAAACTGCTTAGAGAGGGCTGTAAAGCAGTGAGAAGTGGTATATAAGTCTAAATGCTATTGCTAGGAAGGAAGGAAGGAAGGAAGGAAGGAAGGAAGGAAGGAAGGAAGGAAGGAAGGAAGGAAGGAAGGAAGGAAGGAAGGGCCATGATGGCGCAGTGGTGAGAATGCAGTACTGCAAGCAAACTCTGCCCAGTGCCAGGAGTTTGATCCTAACCGGCTCAAGTTTGACTCAGCCATCCATCCTTCCGAGGTCGGTCAAATGAGGACCCAGATTGTTGGGGGGCAACAGGCTGACTCTGTAAACCACTTAGAGAGGGCTGTAAAGGCACTGTGAAGCGGTATATAAGTCTAAGAGCTATTGATATCTCCACCCGACATCAAAGTTCACCAGATATGTCAAAGGCGTCTCCTGCTAGTTTCTGTTTGCTACTCCGTTCTTCTGAATACATTCATGCAGATTTTTCTCACTAGAAAATTCTCAGCATCCACACTTCGTTTCCCAAAAGTCGTTTCTCTTCCCAGATTTTGTAAATCTCTAGACCTACTCCTTGCTTTCCCCACTGGAAAAAAGGACAGGACTTCTTCTAATCTGTAAATGGGATTCCTTTGAATAACTGAAATTTCACGTAATCTCAAATTTCCGCTGTTTTTCCTTCGGTGGCTAGAAAAACTGGATTGTGGGGTTTGAGTTGTGAATGTGGATTGTTGTTGTTGTTGTTTCATTAATGAATGATTATTTGTGATGCCTGTACAGTGTAATAAAAACAATCGTCCATTAATACACCTGTCAAGTCACAATAATTCATAACCACTATGATGGAATATTTTATGCCCACTTTCACACCCAAATGCTTTCACCTTTCTCCTTCCAGTTCGTTCTATTTCTTCTTCTTTTTTAGAAAATTTTATTGATTTTTCTAATTTTACATTTAAATATTTGAAAAGCAACGTGGCGGCTGAGTTGATCAATAATTCAATAATATACAAGTATCTTTAGTACAGATCTCGGATTATTACATTACATATTTCCTCTCTTTTCCCCTTGGTATTTACTGTCTCACATTTAAACTGATAAAAATTCTTATTACATCGATGAAATAAAAATAATTTTCTTACATTTATCAATAATTTTTCATCTATACATATCCCAGTTACTTTAACATTCAATCCTTTTAGACAATCAATGTCCTAGTTTTTCCCAATTTTTAGTTTCCCATCAATAAACGAATTCAACGTTCAATATTTTATAATTTCCAAATTTTAAATAACCCCAATTCCCTTTATCACAATTCACCACAAGATCAAATGTTCAGGATACATGTCTTATCTATTTGAATTCTCACCATCTTACATCGAGTAATTAATAATACAACATTTCTTATTTTCTGGTAATTTCCAAATATCTTAAATTTAGTCACCAAAATTTCTCTTATTTCAGCATTTAATACTTCCTGTCTTTTTCTCTTAATATCCACTATCTCATATTTAAGCTAATCGTTTTTATTATTACCGCTAAGTAGAAACATATCTATTACATTCATCAATAGATTTTTAGCTTATAACCAAATCAGCTTGATTGAACAGACAAGAAGCAACGGATGGAAACTGATCAAGGAGAGAAGCAACCTAGAACTAAGGAGAAATTTTCTGACAGTCAGAACAATTAACCAGTGGAACAACCTGCCTCCAGAAGCGGTGAATGCTCCAACACTGGAGGTTTTTAAGAAGAGACTGGACAGCCATTTGTCCGAAATAGTATAGGGTTTCCTGCCTGAGCAGGGGGTTGGACTAGATGACCTCCAAGGTCCCTTCCAACTTTATTATTATTATAACGGGCATATCCCACTGTAGTCCTCAACTTACAACAATTCATTTAGCGACTGTTTGAAATTACGAAGGCATTGGGGGAAAAAAAAGGGCCTTATGTCCATTTTTCACACAACCCTTGTGGCCTCTCCGTGATCATGTCATCCAAATTGGCAACTGGCTCATATTTACGACGGTCGCAGCGTCCCGGGGCGTCATGTGATCCCCTTTTGCAACCTTCTGACAAGCCAAGTCAATGGGAAAGCCAGATTTCACAACTTAACAACTGCAGTGAAATGCAAAATAGGGCAAAATTCACTTAACGGGGCTGTTGCTTGGCAACAGAAAATTTGGGCCCAGTTGTAGTGGTAAGTCAAGGACTGTCTGTAGTTTAGTAAAGAGGACTAAACCTTCACGCGTTTGTGGGCTTTGCTGAGACAGGATACTCTCAACTCAAGCTACTCCTTATGAGGTGACTGCTGAGTAGCAGACGTTTGCAGCATCCGTCATCCAACTTCCGGTTGACTCATTGGTTCATAAAACCACAGAAGCCCTTGTAACACACTGTACTTCTATTAAATGCAGCTGCTTGCCCCACATTTGGCATCGGAGGTGGTAGAGGTGTTACTGAAATGAACCTCGCATTGCCGTCCCTGGACTCCGCTGCCAGGGAAGAAGACGGGATCAGATCTGCAAGAAACCGGTGCTTTGTGACCTCCATAAATGGCTTTATTGTGCAATGGGGATAAAAGAGAGCCAGGCTGGTCTCTAGTGGTTGAGACACCAGGCTAGAAAGTGGGAAACTGTTGTTCTAGTCCTGCTTTAATGAAAGCCGGCTGGGTGACTTTGGGCCAATCACCAGGAGACGGTGAGTTCTAGTCCCGCCTTAGGCATGAAAGCCGGCTGGGTGACTTTGGGCCAATCACCAGGAGACGGTGAGTTCTAGTCCCGCCTTAGGCATGAAAGTTGATTGGGTGACTTTGGGCCAATCACCAGGAGACGGTGAGTTCTAGTCCCACCTTAAGCATGAAAGCCAGCTGGGTGACTTTGGGCCAATCACCAGGAGACTGTGAGTTCTAGTCCCGCCTTAGGCATGAAAGCCGGCTGGGTGACTTTGGGCCAATCACCAGGAGACTATGAGTTCTAGTCCCACCTTAGGTATGAAAGCTGATTGGGTGACTTTGGGCCAATCACCAGGAGACTATGAGTTCTAGTCCCACCTTAGGTATGAAAGATGACTGGGTGACCTTGGACCAATCACCAGGAAACAGTGAGTTCTAGTCCTTAGAACTGCCTTAGGTATGAAAGCTGGTTGACTTTGGGCCAATCCCCAGGAGACGGTGAGTTCTAGTCCCACCTTAGGTATGAAAACTGACTGGGTGACTTTGGACCAATCACCAAGATACAGTGAGTTCTAGTCGTGCCTTAGGTAT